TCATGGAAACCGACGCGCTCGTCGTCGGCACATCGAGCGGAAACGTCCTCATGATGCGCTTGACCCGCCAAGAGGGCAGCGGCGGCAGGATGGCGCTGGAGGTGGAGCGCGTACTGCGGACGCCGCAGTTGCAGCCCGTGTACGCGCTGCACTACTCGCTTAGTCGCGTCTGTGTGGCAGCTGGCAACACGATCACTGTGTGGCCAAATGGAGGGGACGAAGGGGCTCCGCTGACGTGGCAGGCCCACAGCCACAACATTTCGTGCCTGGACGTGGATTTACTGCGACGAGTTAGGACTGCTTGTGTCGAGCTGAGTATGTCTCATTGGAAGTCTCATTAGAGACCTATTGGAACTCTACGTTATTGTGACCTTTGGAAGTGGAGCCTAAGCTCGAACTGCAGTACTTCAACTTTTCCGCCCCCGACAACGGCACGCTGTTCATCCTTCTGTCCATGTTTATCGCGTTTGGGTACGTCTTGGCTGCGAGTGCGTTGGACGCGATGGTGGTCGAGACGCCCAGCGAGAACCTGTTGCAATGCGCGGCCGCATCCAGGATCCAGACCGCCCATCTACGTCGTGCGCTCGCTCGCTGGCATCCTCGCGTAATGGTGACTGCATTCTCACTTGGTGTAACAGACCCACAGGCGGCGATGATGTACCCGAACGAAGCAAACATGGATAGCACGAAGAACAGCGTGCTTTGGTTGTGGTGGGCGTCGAGGTTGAGTGCTGGAGGTTGGCCGTCAGGACCATTTCTAGCGGCCTGCCACAATACTTAGGCTTTTCGCGGTTGAAAAACAGCTCACCAACGACTAAACGTCATGATAATCAGAAGATCATCGTGATGGGCCATCCGATCAACGTCCATGGCTTGTGCCGGCAGCTGAAGATGGGGTTTGCCTTTGGGGACGCAGCAAAAACAACCAACTCCAACGACGCCAACTTGCACGCGTACACGAAATGTACACTTACGTGACGTCATCCCCGCGCGTCGGTGGTTTCTGTCGCTCCTGGGGTCGTTCTGGGACACCCTGAAGAACCAGGCGACGTACTTGTAGGCAATACCGTCAAACGGGCTTGCGAGGTTGTTGATGTCGTGATCAGGCCGTACGCTGCGCCGCCACTTCCACCGTCACATACGTGGCCAGTGGGGACGTTGTCGGCCAGCGCCATGACTTTATAGTACCACTGGTTGCGAACGACGTCCCTGCAAGCAATACTTGACTTCGAAAGATGACTAGCCCGTCGACGAGGATCACGTCGGTGGTGCCCGCAGCGAATGTTCACCGCTCATTTCACTACAGATCCAATAACGACACCATGAGCAGAATTCCAGAGTATCAACTCATTGTCTAGCATCTTGTAGATCGGGTATGGACAAGTTGCCCAAGATGCTAGCCATTGAGTTGTTGAGGGATTCGACATCCGCCCAGTACATGGCCACGTGAAACCGTAACGCAAACCTTAGATGTCAATCGCCTCATGTATGGATCAATATTGGAACCGCCAGTACAACACGAGATATGCAATGTTCATTATACGCTACTTCAAAATGCAAGACATTTTTTTCTACTTCTGGGGGCACTTGCCCGTCTTGGGGTCCAACACTCCGTTGCCCCCTGCGACACGGTAGCACTTGGTGGAGGGGAAAATGGACATGATGTTGCTGGACACGGTGAACGACACGCAGAAGAAAAACACGGACACGAGAATG